ATATGGGTAACACTACCGCACAATTCAGTTGCCGTGGTAACCGCCAACGCCAGCAAATAAATTCACGTGCGGGGTGCCTTTGACCTGAAGTTGTAAGTAGGGAATGCGAGCTAAGGGAAAGTAACTCGTGCTTGAACAGGATTCACACTCTGAGACTTATTATGTCCCTTCGTTTAAATTTTTTTTTTTCTGAAAAAAATTGGGTTGGTTTCGTTGGCATCATTAAAATCAACTTCATTTTTGTCTACTTCCTATGGTGCAAAGGCGCCCAATCCTGGATGCTTATGCCCCTGAGCCCAACCACACAAATAAAGGGGAGCATAAGCCACAGTTCCCCCAACATTTTGTCAGGGGGCCAAGCGATCTTAGTTATCGCACATACACATTTTCTTAATAATTTTTAAAATGCATTTCACATTCTTTTAGATATGCTATTTTATAATATTAGGTACACTCAGCACATTATATTATAAAGAGAACCGCTTAATGAGAAGGAGAAAACTGGAGTACATCGTGGCAGTAGGAAAGTTGGAGGGGAAGACAGGCAGATGGAGACAGTGAGAGGGTATTAAACTAGTCACCATGCAATTTTTCGTTTTTTTTTAAATACCACCATGGCTCATGCCAGGGGCCGCAATATAGCCCAGCAATAAATATGGTTTAATGGCTGAACGCGGTTCCCGGGAGCTCTCCACGGGTGATCCTCATCCACATGGTGGCACTTTGTGTCATCGGGTGTTTATCGCTTATGTGATATCCCGGTGGGGTAAAATGTACTACTACAGTGAGAAAGAAAAGGTGCTGGGCAGTTTGACATCATGACATGAAGGTTTCCCTGTATCAGAGCTGTCTGAAAGTACACGAGACAGAAGGTTGTGGATAGTAATAAATACCAGCTCCACACGGCATGAACTTTAAGAAGAAGATATTTAGAGGACATAGTAAATAAAATATTGCTGATGATGATTATTATTGCTTTTATTTTTATTATTATCTGCCAAAATTATGTAGGGGTGGAATAATGTATCCACGGAGTGAGGCCAGAATGGCAAAATGTAGGACAAGCCTGTGTACCAAATTCCTAACCCTTTAAAAATAAAGTTGTTAGTTCATTCATTCATTACATGTCAGCTTACACTTGTCTGCCCACTAAAGTATATAATTACCAGTCTATCACCGGCTTTTTTGGCCTAGGCGTTGCGAATCCGACTCGTAATTCCAACGTACCGCGTGATCGAAACCCACTGCTGGCTGCGTGGATTTTTATCGCAAGTCGACACAGCATAAAATGGGTACCAGGATGTATGTACTGGGGAAGTAAAGACGGCTGTCGTACCCATCGTTTGCCGATTGGTCTGTAAAAATATGGGATGCCCTTCGCATAGTCCCGATGCGCCTAAAAGCCCGAAAAGGGATCTTTACTTTACTTACTGCCTTTCTATACATGCCTTCCTGTTTATCTATGAAATCACTTTTATTTTGCTTTTTTGTTTATATATGTCGAACACTTGTACATTTACGTCCTGGTAGGACTAATGTACTAACTTAAAGTAGACATTGCTGATCATACACTGCCACTTGTCATGTAAATAAAACCGCCAACTTCCATGATCACACGCACAGCCGAAAAGATGCTGTTCTCAATATGAACAGCTGCTATAGGGATTTTCCCTGCTGAATAATCTCTAGAATTTAGTTGTCGCTGTGGGGATTCCCGATCCCATATGGTCTGAGGCGGCGAAGACAATGTTTAGTCATCATCATCATCATCATTTTCAGTTTCCACTTCTGCCGCTAAGCGTTGTGGGAAGGAACAGTTTGCGATCCTTTGCTTGATGGACTATAATGACTACTGTCATTCCGTGTCTACGTAGAAGCTCTTTAATGTCATCAATCCATATCACCTAGGATGGCCTCTTGCTTTCACATCTGATCTTTTCCCATGAAGCACCTGCATCGGTAGTTGTTCTGACTGCATTCTTACTACATGACCAAACCATTTGATCCTCTGTTTCTCAATGAATTTGCTGCATGCTGTTGTTCCTACAGTCGACAGTGTTAAGTAAAAAGGTAATTTAGTTGAGTATCCCTTACACAACGTTGCACAGAACCAACTCCAGCATTTATTCACTGTTTTTGGTTTTACAAGGTTATTTTACTTTGAGCAACTTTAGCAACTTCATAAATTACATGTAACTTGTATGCATCTCTTCATGTCTGAATACATTAGGCATCACAAGTTTATACAAGTTGTTGTTTAAAAAAAAAACTCCATGCAACACATTACTTCTTGAAGGCAGTACATAGATTACAGAAAAAAATGTGTTGAAGTAAAACTTGATGATCAACATTCCGAACCCTTGATGTTTACTGCTGCAGATATCACTGACGCTAATTCACACCTGTGATTGGCCTTCTCTCTCCAGTTGGTGACTCCATGTGTTTGTAGGTCTGCCTGTATATTATCTATCCACCGTCTTCTGGGTCTACCTGATTGTCTGTTCCCAGTCAACTCTTTTATGCACAGGACAAACCCCAGCAGGGTCCACAACTTTATTTATTTATGATTTTTTTTTTTTTCTGCAGATGTGCCCAACGAGGTTGAAAGAGTAAGAGGGGAGTCGGCAGTAGATACGGTGAGTGACCTCATTTCTAATTATATTTTTATAATAACAACTATTATTTTTGCGATTTGACGAGATGTCCAAGTGGACTGTTGATGTTGCAAATTCTGAACTGATTAGTTCATTGCTGGAGATGTTCTAGCCTACTGTCACTATGACAGTTCCAAACTAAATAGTTCATTACTGGTGATGTGCGAGTCTATTTCAATAAAGAGCAAGTTCTTAACTAGTTAGTTCATGTGTCCTAGTCCACTAACATGGAGACTTGGCTCTATAATCGAATCGACACTCTATCAGCTACAGTTGAGGAGAATCCTTCAGGAATGTTTTTATTCATCGTTTAAAATCAACCCGAATCTAGAATTGTTCTATTGCAAGAAATGCATTATTTCTACAATTCTTACAGGTTATCGTAACGTGTGATATCTAGTGTCGTTTCATCCCTTGGCAGTAAACCGTGACAAACTATATTTTGTGCAATACAATCTTTTAGTATTTGTTTCACTACTAAAGTTGCGAGTGAGTTACGTTGAACCCCACCAGGACCACTCAACAGCGGTAAACACCCGGTGACACAAAGTGCCACTATTTGAATGAGAATCACACGGGTGTACGTCACAGAAACCCCCTTCAACCGTTAGGTTATATAAGGGTCCCCGGTTACAGCGAGAGTGGGGGGCTTTAACAAAATTTCGTTCTATATGGGAAGGGGGGGGGGGGGCGAGGTTATATTAATGATTAAAGTGACTTGCTAGCCTGTACACATTGCTGTAAAACTGATCTCTTCGCTTTGTTCACTTAAATGTATCCCTCCAGTATGGTTTATAAACTGGTTTGTTTCACGGTCTGGACTGTATATTAAAATTTCGTTCGGTTCATAAATACAATTCTTACAGATGTAGCTGGGGATCGTCGCTAAAACTGAGGAGTTGCTGCATTATGAGATTCTCTCAGCTGGCGACTAGCAGTTTTGCGGAGAGAAACTAGGCCATATGGGATGACACCCACAGGAATGAAGTCGATCCTGTCGATTAAAAAAAAATACGTATATTTTATATCGCTACAATTATGATCTTGGGTAATGGATTAGACGTCCATCCCTCTCGGATAAGGGTGACAAACCAATAGAGCCTACGCTCACGTTGGAACTCGGAAACTGGGATAGAGGGTGATGAATACGCAGCTGTCTAGTCTTCACAACACATATGGGTGTTATGTAATGTTTAATTCCTGTATACGCACATAAATGAATCATAACCAGCAGTGAGGTGTTCGTGCACTGTGCTATGATACCCCACATCTAACCTTTGGGAAGGAACTGATAAATCACAGAAGAGAATTGGAGACAGATAAAAACGAAGGGGGAATGAAGAAAGGTACATGTAAAGGAAAACAAAAACGAAGAAGGTTTGGGGTATGTGTTTCCAGGGATATTTGTTGGATACACTGCTCATGGAGTCAATGAGTAAATATAGACCTTTATGCTCGAGATAGATAGGGGGAAATGAGCGAAACTTGTCTTGTCTTGTCTTGTCCACAATTGCCTCACAGCGTAGTGGGGAGTCGCAGTTTTCTATCCTGGGCCAGGTGTGTTGCACGTGTTGTTGTTAGTCCGTGTTGCCTCAGGATCTCTGATATATTGTCTATCCATCGTACTCTCGGTCTGCCTCTTGCTCTAGGGCAGTAGTGCTGTTCGTTGTATGCTCGTAGAGGCAGTTGGTCGGTTTGCATTCGCATCAAGTGGCCAAACCACTCTATTTGTTGCTTCTTTATGTATTGCAGGCATGGGGTGGTTCCTACAATTGCTCTAATGTTCTCGTTTCGAACTCTGTCTCTCCTTGTGACATTGGCAGCCTTACGTAAGCATCTCATTTCGCACGTCGTGATCTTTTTCTCCTGTGCTCTTGTTAGGGACCAGGTTTGGCATTGGTAGCTGAGGGTTGGTATAAACATGCAATTTATCAGTTGTCGTTTAACAGTTAAAGTTGTGTTAAATTCTTCAAAATAACTTGACTTTAACTATTTTCAAATGATTAGTTCGTTTATTTTAACTTCTTACTTAAATATTCACTTTTACATAATATTAATTGATGTGTAAGCGAGTAAACAGTGTGGGGGCACAAACAGCTAATCACAGTCCGAAGAGAATGGTCCATCGAGGAGTGACCAAGGGATCTGACCGACGCTCAACTTATCAGGAGAGGGGTGAGACGGACATACCAGCAGTCTGTTACTGGTACTATCGGAACTGGAACTGTCCTTGCTGCTGAAGATGGGGACGGATCGCTTATAGGAATGTCCAAGTAATTTGATATTGGTCCTTAACTCATAATGTATAACTCATAACTCATTATTATTTTGCATTTCTGAAACCAGGACCTCCCGCAAAGCCAGCAGTCCGGGGACAAGGCTGGCCCCGTGTATCCTGGAGCAGAAGGTGTTGCAGCTGGCCCGGTAAGTAATGGTTGTTGGACCCAGCTGCAGCCAGGCCAGGTGACAGGCAGTTTAGCAGCATCGACCGCTCATTGGGCAAAGGAGGACTTAGTCTTTCCTCTTGAGTATGGGGCGTCGCAGAGTGCAGAGGTCATAGTTCGTTGCTACCTGGTGTAGGTCTTGGACTTTTATTAGGCCACTGGTTGAGCCTTCTCCATTGATGATTCTATACAGTCTCTTTTGGTCTTCACCGTTTTATTTCCTTACCCGTGTCCATACAAGGGCTTGATGAGGGGAGTAGATGTCTTTTTCTTAAAGTCCATACCGTGTGGCCTTGTTAGTCATGCTTGTCCACAACCTTCTCTCGTGTACTATCAATCAATTAGAAGCTCTTAATGAATTCTCTGTTTTTAAGTTGTTTGCTTGAAAATCGTTGGGTAGTTTGGGAACGTATGTTGCCGAATTTAGTGAGACTGATGTAAGATTTGTCAGTTCTGCTGTCTTTATAGAGTTTGTTCTTTAATGTCCTTCTGTATTTCATTCTACAGTTTCCTCTTCATATTTTTGTACCTTCCGCCAAACATTGCTATACTGCTGCATTGTTCCCTTTCCACATTCAGCCCTTTCTTTTTTGCTTCTTTCTTCACTATATCTTTTTCTAATGTCGTCCCCACTGATAAAAGTTAATACTGTATTGTGAAACACCCTGTGTGGGTTCTGGGGCCCCATTGTGGGGAAAAGAAGAATACACTCACTGGAGTCGATCAATTGGGGACTTTCTTCGAAGTCAGAGTGCATCTGCACGAGTGGCAAGGAACAACCAGCTGTACACAAATAAGCCAGTAAAACGGATTTACACGCACAACTCAGGCCCTGGCATAAAGCCAAAGTCCAAATGAACAAACAACTAGGACTTTCCGCCGGAACTTAAGCCGGTAAACAAAGAAGAAGAGGCAGAAGTATTGTAAAACCCTAAAAAACGTAACTTTTTTCTAGAAAATTCTCAATGTTTCAGGGACCACCAGGACCTAGGGGCACTTCTGGACCTCCCGGGCCGCCAGTAAGTCACACACAGATGTTGGTGTTGTTGGTGTTGTCGTTGTTGTTGTTGACTTCTTCAGATATGATCGTGTGAGCTAAAACAATTTCAGCTAGAATTTTCCAGTGTGCAGTGCTGGATCTGTCTATACCTTAAATAAGCTACAGCTTTGGGTCTCAAAATTTGCAGGGTCCTCAAGATATATTTCTTTAACAAATGCAGTTTTCTTTTAATATACTAGAAAGAATTTTCTGCTTTTAGCGTAATGTGGTAGACGGCGAAGGCTGCTGGCTAAACGGCGAAGGCTGCTGGCTAAACGGCGAAGGCTGCTGGCTAAACGGCGAAGGCTGCTGGCTGAACGGCGAAGGCTGCTGGCTAAACGGCGAAGGCTGCTGGCTAAACGGCGAAGGCTGCTGGCTAAACGGCGAAGGCTGCTGGCTGAACGGCGAAGGCTGCTGGCTAAACGTGACGATTTAAAAACGTTTGTGCAGTAACGTATCTACCGAAAAAGAGTGCCACATACTTGAAGATGAGAGATAAATTTAATAAGAGAGAGTTTTACAAAAGAGTTCTACTCTAGAAGATAGAGCTATTCTAGAAGACATATACAGTCAAGAAACAAGATCTAATCTAGAAAAGAGATCTATTTAAGAAGAGTTGTATACGACATGTGTGGTGTCAAAGAGATCTATTTAAGAAGAGTTGAATACGACATGTGTAGTGTCAAAGAGATCTATTTAAGAAAAGTTGTATACGACATGTGTGGTGTCAAAGAGATCTATTTAAGAAGAGTTGAATACGACATGTGTGGTGTCAGAGATCTATTTAAGAAGAGTTGAATACGACATGTGTGGTGTCAAAGAGATCTATTTAAGAAGAGTTGTATACGACATGTGTGGTGTCAAAGAGATCTATTTAAGAAGAGTTGTATCCGACACGTGTGGTGTCAAAGAGATCTATGTAAGAAGAGTTGTATCCGACATGTGTGGTGTCAAAGAGATCTATTTAAGAAGAGTTGAATACGACATGTGTGGTGTCAGAGATCTATTTAAGAAGAGTTGAATACGACATGTGTGGTGTCAGAGATCTATTTAAGAAGAGTTGAATACGACATGTGTGGTGTCAAAGAGATCTATTTAAGAAGAGTTGTATCCGACATGTGTGATGTCAAAGAAATCTATTTAAGAAGAGTTGTATACGACATGTGTGGTGTTAAAGAGATCTATTTAAGAAGAGTTGTATACGACATGTGTGGTGTCAAAGAGATCTATTTAAGAAGAGCTGTATACGACATGTGTGGTGTCAAAGAGATCTATTTAAGAAGAGTTGTATACGACATGTGTGGTGTCAAAGAGATCTATTTAAGAAGAGTTGTATACGACATGTGTGGTGTCAGAGATCTATTTAAGAAGAGTTGTATACGACATGTGTGGTGTCAAAGAGATCTATTTAAGAAGAGTTGAATACGACATGTGTGGTGTCAAAGAGATCTATTTAAGAAGAGTTGAATACGACATGTGTGGTGTCAAAGAGATCTATTTAAGAAGAGTTGTATACGACATGTGTGGTGTCAAAGAGATCTATTTAAGAAGAGTTGTATCCGACATGTGTGGTGTCAGAGATCTATTTAAGAAGAGTTGAATACGACATGTGTGGTGTCAAAGAGATCTATTTAAGAAGAGTTGAATACGACATGTGTGGTGTCAAAGAGATCTATTTAAGAAGAGTTGTATCCGAAATGTGTGATGTCAAAGAGATCTATTTAAGAAGAGTTGTATACGACATGTGTGGTGTCAGAGATATATTTAAGAAGAGTTGCATACGACATGTGTGGTGTCAAAGAGATCTATGCGGTAAGTGGTCTGGGCTTAAAAAATTATATTTATGAAAAGAAATGTGTTTACCAAGAACGAGGTGTTTTGAATGTATTCATCAGTTTGGAAAGATTATATTCTGCACATACAAGTGCCAAAGACAAACGATATAATTTCACAGTTAAAAATAATTATACAAAAACAAGGTAATTAAAAAACAAGACTGGTTTCATCATTACGATCATCATGTGCCCTTCCAACTGGCATAGGCGCTCACGCGTCTCCACAGATCACGATCCCTGGTTGCCTGGAACATCTCTCTTGGTGATATCCCTCCATGCCATCGTTTTAGCCCATCTAGCATCGTCTCTCTTGGTCTGCCTCTACCGCTTTTCCCACTGATTTTTCCAGTTGTCAGACTGGTTTACCGAGCATAAAAATCGGTTAGCAAGAAAGAAACTTTGAAAAAAATAAATAAATAAATGCAAGCTTTTTGAACACGGGTTTCAAAATGACGATACATTTTCCTTAATTTGAACACTATTGAATAGTTTTGGTAATAGCCCAGTATTCACAAAATCTCAAACTGATTTCAGGGGCAACCTGGTTATCAAGGGCCACGCGGTGAGCCTGGCGAGCCTGGACCTCCGGTAAGTCATGTCTCAATATGTCTTGATGTCATGGAACATTTTGTTATAGGATTATGAATATATACGTACACTCATACAACACACAACAATACTCACATACATATATATATATATTTGCATGCGTACAAACACATACATACATACATGCTTGCACACACCGGAATTTAAGATCAGTCCCATGATTGTTATGGTTACCTCAAATTTATCACGTGATCTTTTTGTTAACATAAAACAGGATAGTTAACTTTTATTGATACGGCCTCGGCTAGTTTTAGTAAAAGTCTATTCAATGTTATTCAAGGTAACAGTTTGTCACTCTGTAACGCAACTGACGAGATAAAGCAGAATATGCCTGGCAGTAGACGGTGTCATCTATTGTTTGTCGCTGTGTAATGTTTTGCTGTGTGAGCATTATTTAAATTTACACCGGGAAAACATTCGTTTCAATTCCCGATCTACGTCTGCTTAGAAATTCAAATATATAAGTTGAGGTTCTAATGTTCTTACACATTTCTTTCTACCAGGGCACGCCAGGACCTCGTGGATTCCCGGGTCCTGCGGGACCTCCAGGTCCAGAGGTAAGAGCAATGTTGAATAATTGAGTTGTCTACATTACGATATAAATCAAAGATAAATATTTGCATAGAAAGGTGTGAAAGATATCGACATCTGAAACAACAGATTAACAATTAGAATTCTCATATTTTATGTATACGCTTCCTGTGTTGTACCCGAGCCTCATTGTAGCGGAGAAACAGACAAGTCACATTGCCCTCTAACAAGAGTGTCATAAGAGCCAACCAATAAGGGTGTTTCTGTCGAAGTCGGAATGCATCTGCCTGAGATGTGAGGAACCAACAGTCTGCATATAAAAAATCTAGATCTGTAAAATAGATGTGAATGAAAAGCTCAAGTTTTGGAACAAGACTAAAGTTCAGAACTTTCCACCAGAGTCTACAGCCGGGGAACGGAGACAAGACAGAAGGTAGAGTAAACTCCACAGTACGGTGCAGAAGTTTAGACAATAAACAGAGACAAGAAAGAAGGTATACTGAACTCAACAGTATGGTGCAGAAGTTTAGACAATAAACAGAGACAAGAAAGAAGGTATAGTAAACTCCACAGTGCGGTGCAGAAGTTTAGACAATAAACAGAGACAAGAAAGAAGGAATACTGAAATCAACAGTATGGTGCAGAAGTTTAGACAATAAACAGAGACAAGAAAGAAGGTATAGTAAACTCCAAAGTACGGTGCAGAAGTTTAGACAATAAACAGAGACAAGAAAGAAGGTATACTGAAATCAACAGTATGGTGCAGAAGTTTAGACAAAAAACAGAGACAAGAAAGAAGGTATAGTAAACTCCACAGTACGGTGCAGAAGTTTAGACAATAAACAGAGACAAGAAAGAAGGTATACTGAACTCAACAGTACGGTGCAGAAGTTTAGACAATAAACAGAGACAAGAAAGAAGGTATACTGAACTCAACAGTACGGTGCAGAAGTTTAGACAATAAACAGAGACAAGAAAGAAGGTATACTGAACTCACAGTACGGTGCAGAAGTTTAGACAATAAACAGAGACAAGAAAGAAGGTATAGTAAACTCAACAGTATGGTGCAGAAACTTGTACAATAAACAGGCAACTTAAAAATTGGATCGATGTTTTCTTTCAAGTCGGAGAGCTTCTGCCTAAGAGGGAGGAACCAATCGTCTGCATAAGCATAAGCCAGATTTGTAAAACGAATGTGCACATAAAACTCAGGCTCTAGAACAAGGTCAAAGTCCAGAAGTGGACGAACAACCAGAACCTAATCTGCAGGAGTTTACAGATGGTGAATGTAGAAGAAGAAGAAGAAGAAGAAGAAGAAGAAGAAGAAGAAGAAGAAGAAGAAGATGGGGGCTGGAAACTGGTCTATCACTTAATAATAAAAATAATAATACTAAAATAATATACTATAAATGTTGACATGGAGGCCATCAGAAGAACGTAAGATCTGTTGTATGAACTTGCAGGGAGACGAAGGTGTGCCAGGTGAGGCAGGTCCCCCGGGACCTATTGGACCAGTCGTAAGTATACCTTCTTTGTTGTTACTTTGTATTATCCGCTTGCTCGGCTGTTAGTCAAATCTGTCTGTCTGTCTGTCTGTCTGTCTGTCTGTCTGTCTGTCTGTCTGTCTGTCTGTCTGTCTGTCTGTCTGTCTGTCTGTCTGTCTGTCTGTCTGTCTGTCTGTCTGTCTGTCTGTCTGCCTGCCTGCCTGCCTGCCTGCCTGCCTGCCTGCCTGCCTGCCTGCCTGCCTGCCTGCCTGTCTGTCTGTCTGTCTGTCTGTCTGTCTGTCCGTCCGTCTGTCTGTCTGTCTGTCTGTCTGTCTGTCTGTCTGTCTGTCTGTCTGTCTGTCTGTCTCTCTGTGTGTCTGTGTGTGTCTCCAGTCTGAATGATTTTGGTCCTAATCGCTGGGTGATTTGGTTACAACTTAACACCATATCTGTGCCAATATTCTACTTGGTGGTCTCAGGGCACGGTGTCCGCCTCGAGTGCTAGAGGTTCCGGGTTCGATCCCTTGTGAGGGCTGGGATTTTTTCACGTCGACTTGGACTTCTAGTAATTCCCATTAGTCTCTGGGTAGTGAGATCGGACGTCTGTGTGCATTGTTGCGCACGGAAAAAATCCCTTGGCAGCTGGAAATCGAAAAGAGTAGCATAACGGCGCTGCTGAAAAAAAAAATTTGAGTTAAAAATCTACCCAAAGTATTTCAGGATCCTCGCCGGTGCTACAGAGCCTGTGCACTGTGCGGAGCTTCTTCTGACTCAGACTTGAGTTAGAAGAAGAACGGGGCACTTAATAGTTATTACCCGTGTGCCATGATGTTGATCCTTTGTTCAAAACTCAAACTTCAAACCTCCTAAGTTAATTTAGCGTTTCAATATTCATGTCCATGATCTGGTTGCTTGTTTCTGCATATGATGTGAAGATTCCATAGTCATATTGATGATCTGGTTGCTTGTTTCTGCATATGATGTGAAGATTCCATAGTCATATTGATGATATGATTGACTATCTCTTCTGTAAATTAACCGTTCCATACGTGTCCATGGTTTGATTACCTGCTTCTGCTTATAATTTAACGATTTCATGTACGTGTCCATGGTCAGACAGTCTCGACAGTGAACGAAGTCTATGCCGTATGGCGATGGTAGTCATGTTTATCCACAACTTTCTATCTCGTGTCCTTGTAATCAACTCCGACACAAATGGTCCTCTATGTCATGACGTCAAACTGTCCAGCAGCTGTTTCTCTCGATCGCCCTCTGTCTCTCCTCCCCTCGAACTTTCTTACTTTCATGATGTAATCCTTTTTCTCTTTCTCGTCACATGACAAAAGTATGTAGATTGTCCCGTTTTATATGATACAACGATTTCTTGTCTGTTGTCAGATTGTCATATCCTAGTATCTATAATGTGCCTCGGCAAAAAGTTAACAAATAATATTTCTGTCCGCACAGGGAGAAAGTGGCAGTCCGGGTTTTCCCGGTAGTCCAGGAATTAAGGGGCACAGAGTAAGTAGAAATGGTTTCACAACACTTTCGATTCACTCTGTTATGTCACTGATATTCTTGCATGTTATAGTAAAGAAACTTAAATGCTGCGGTTAGGTTAAACATCCTACTGGTTTGGAAAGATCGGTAATAAAAGATATGGTTCCTGTAAGACGAGGCAGGGATATACCAACATGCCGGTATGCACATAATATGAAGGCAAGGCATCGAATAGCATTTAGGTATCCTGTGATGAGAGCGACCTTCTGTAAAGAACCTGCTTTGTGATATGATGTTGATGGTGTGGTACTTATACCCTACAGACAACACATCAAGTGTAAGTGAACGTGTGTTCAATTATGTTATTAGCTATGTGCTTATAAAATTCTTACGTTTTTAATACAAAAGATATAACAAATTAATTGGGGGGGGGGGGTGAGGGGGGAAAAGGGGGGGGGGGTACACGCAACAATAAAAACTGAGATACAGAGAATTGTTTGGTCATGCCATTAGATGTGGATCGGAGAATATGATGATAGCTGGAATGATCGGTGGTAGATGAGGCAGAAACCGACACAGATAAACGATGCTGGTTTGTCAAAGACGATGTCATGGGGTGCAATTACATCAACAGAATTGATGATAGCTAGAGTTGGTCCACGACAATGATCATGATCGTCTATGTAGCACACACCAGATTCCTCCTTAAACCAGACTCTGAAAGGCAGAACAAGGCTTAGAGAAAAGAAGAGAAAAAGAAAGAAGAAGAAGAAGAAGAAAGAAGAGGAAGAAGAAGAAGAAGAAGAAGAAGAAGAAGAAGAAGAAGAAGAAGAAGAAGAAGAAGAAGAAGAAGAAGAAGAAGAAGAAGAAGAAGAAGAAGAAGAAGAAAAAAAGACGAAGAAGAAGAAGAGGGAAGAAGAAGAAGAAGAAAGAAGAAGAAGAAGAAGAAGAAGAAGAAGAAGCAGAAGAAAAAGAAGAAGAAGAAAAGGGAAAAAGAAGAAGAAGAAGAAGAAGAAAAAAAAGAAGAAGAAGAAGAAGAAAAAGAAGAAGAAGAAGAAGAAGAAGAAGAAGAAGAAGAAGAAGAAGAAGAAGAAGAAGAAGAAGAAGAAGAAAAAAAAGAAGAAGAAGAAGAAGAAGAAGAAGAAGAAGAAGAAGAAGAAGAAGAAGAAGAAGAAGAAAGAAGAAAGAACAAGAAGAAGAAGAAGAAGAAGAAATCAGATCTATGGAACGGAATACCTACAATATCTAGCGAGGTACATAATGACAATGCTGTTATTGTTAAGGAAATGTTTATTATATTTGCTATCACAAATACATTTGTATGCAACAGATTTATGTTTCCAAATTTCAGATATGAAGTAATATTCCATGTTTATTCACAGGGATTTCCAGGACGGGAGGGAAAAGAAGGTCAGCGGGGAAGGCAAGGAGAAAAGGTTTGTTTCTCTATTTTTCATCTTCTATTATTTTGCCTATTCCCTTGGTGTCTCTTCAAACTTACGTAAAAAATTTATTTTTATTAGAAAATCTGGATGCAGATAGTCTGTGTTAGTGCACGTGGTTTGAAGAGGGATGTTACACCATAGTAGTAACTGACAAACTTAATTGGAGAGATAGCTAATAAAAAAATGGAGATAATCTAGATGAAAGCAATATGACTTTACATTAATTGTGCCAACATTATGCTCGTCAACCGTTCACAGCATTAAACCTGTTGTAAACTAAATAGTAATTACCGTAATGTAGAGACAATGTTAATCTAAGAGATGCATCCACTGTAGTTTTAAAAGCCCTGTTTAAAACTGAGTAATTATTAATATAAGGTATAGACAATTATAATTTAAGACAGGCATTCAGAAAGTTTGAAAAGCCCTGTTGTAAACTAAGTAGCAGTTACTTTATTGTAGAAAAAATGATTATGTAAGACAATTCACTAAAGTTTGAAAAGCCCTGTTGTGAACTCTATGCGTAATAGGTAAGTGATATCGTGTTGTATTGTCTAGTTTGTGTAAGCGCTGATAAAGGTTCCTTAGCTGCAACGTTCATGTTTCGTGTGGTTTGTTATAATGTGAAGCTCGCTGATATACTTTTGTTCGGGTTTATATCTTTCTGTTGTAAACTAAGTAGCAGTTACTTGAAGGTAGAGACAATGATAATTTAAGACATTAATTTACTGTTCCCATTTATCTACCACACGCTTGATTGATTTTCAAATAGGGAAATGCTGGCACACCTGGTCCTGCAGGAGCTCCAGGACAAGTGGGACCCCGTGGGTCTCCAGGTGAAAGGGGTCGCGACGGTTCGCCTGGCATCCAGGTAAGTTTATGTATGTTGTGGCCAGGTTTTTTGTTGTAATGTGGTTGTGTCTTTTTTGCAATGTGGTTTTGTCTTTGTTGCAATGTGGTTGTGTCTTTGTTGCAATGTGGTTGTGTCTTTGTTACAATTTCGTTGTGTCTTTGATGCAATGTGACTGTGTCTTTGTTGCAATGTGGTTGTGTCTTTGTTACAATTTCGTTGTGTCTTTGATGCAGTGTAGTTGTGTCTTTGTTGCAATGTGGTTGTGTCTTTTTTTGTTGCAATCTTGTTGTGTCTTTGTTGCAATGTGGTTGTGTCTTTGTTGCAAGATGGTTGTGTCTTTGTTGCAATTTGGTTGTGTCTTTGTTGCAATGTGGTTGTGTCATTGTTGCAACGTGGTTGCGTCTTGTCATAGCCTGGGTAGTAGTAATAATAGGATTTAGTAATATTCGTGTAAGGAATATTTTTGTTCATGTTAAGAAGCTGTGGTGGTCTGGAGAGAACTGTGATGAAAGGTACAGTAACCGGAATACGAGGCACAGGCCGACCTCTGCGAAAGTGGATGAATGATATTAAAGATGCATTGGTTATCAAAGAACTGAGGGCAGGAGAACTGGTTAGAGAAAGAGAAAGAGAATAGAGAAGAGAGAGAGAGAGAGAGAGAGAGAGAGAGAGAGAGAGAGAGAGAGTGAGAGAGAGAGAGAGAGAGAGAGAGATCTTTCAGACATGCTACTAAGAGACCATATTCTGTAAAGACGATGAGCTTAAGGTAACTGTCAGCTTTCGCATGTTTCCCGTTCTTTATTAGCGTAGCGAACAAGCAGCGAGCGTTCTTTTTGCTATGCTAATATTCTTTTCAAGCGTTATGTGCTCATCGACACGTAAAAAGAGCGAGCTTATTTTTAACAAATAGTTAACATTTATAATAAATAGGAAAATAATACATTTTTCTGTTGTAATGGAAAGTGTCAGAAGCGATCACAGCCGTTTCATGCACGCATCGTCACTGATAATTACACACACACAATAAAGATTTCTGGTTTGTTCTGCTTAGGGCCTGAGAGGAGAGGATGGGGCCCCAGGCAGCGCTGGTCCACCTGGACCCGTGGGGCCACCTGGCAGTCCTGGATTTCCTGGAGCTCAGGGACAAAAGGTGAGTTTTATCATCATGTAATCGATTATTTTCTGTTCTCATGACAAGTTCATATTGTTTCGATACCGTTTTATCCTGTTATCTTGTCACTTTTTGTCTCCGTATAAGATATCAATATTTAGTATCTTAATGTTTGCTTACACAAAAAAAAAAAAAAAATAAATTCATATGGCTTCTTCAAAAGGATTTTTTTCAAAGACGGTAGTTTCTTCTTAACCATCAAGACGGTTGTTTCTTCTTAACCATCAAGACGGTTGTTTCTTCTTAACCATCAAGACGGTTGTTTCTTCTTAACCATCAAAGACGGTAGTTTCTTCTTAACCATCAAAGACTGTAGTTTCTTCTTAACTATCAAAGACGGTAGTTTCTTCTTAACCATCAAAGACAGTAGTTTCTTCTTAACCATCAAAGACGGTAGTTTCTTCTTAACCATCAAAGACTGTAGTTTCTTCTTAACCATCAAAGACTGTAGTTTCTTCTTAACTATCAAAGACGGTAGTTTCTTCTTAACCATCAAAGACTGTAGTTTCTTCTTAACCATCAAAGACTGTAGTTTCTTCTTAACCATCAAAGACGGTAGTTTCTTCTTAACCATCAAGACGGTTGTTTCTTCTTAACCATCAAGACGGTTGTTTCTTCTTAACCATCAAGACGGTTGTTTCTTCTTAACCATCAAGACGGTTGTTTCTTCTTAACCATCAAAGACAGTAGTTTCTTCTTAACTATCAAAGACTGTAGTTTCTTCTTAACTATCAAAGTATCAAAGACAGTAGTTTCTTCTTAACTATCAAAGACAGTAGTTTCTTCTTACCTATCAAAGACTGTAGTTTCTTCTTAACTATCAAAGACTGTAGTTTCTTCTTAACTATCAAAGACTGTAGTTTCTTCTTAACTATCAAAGACAGTAGTTTCTTCTTAACTATCAAAGACTGTAGTTTCTTCTTAACTATCAAAGACTAGTTTCTTCTTATCCATCAAAGACGGTAGTTTTTTCTTAACTATCAAAGACTGTAGTTTCTTCTTAACTATCAAAGACGGTAGTTTCTTCTTAACCATCAAAGACAGTAGTTTCTTCTTAACCATCAAAGACGGTAGTTTCTTCTTAACGATCAAAGACAGTAGTTTCTTCTTATCCATCAAAGACGGTAGTTTCTTCTTAACCATCAAAGACGGTGGTTTCTTCTTAACCATCAAAGACGGTAGTTTCTTCTTAACTATCAAAGACAGTAGTTTCTTCTTAACTATCAAAGACAGTAGTTTCTTCTTAACTATCAAAGACTGTAGTTTCTTCTTAACTTTCAAAGACAGTAGTTTCTTCTTAACCATCAAAGACGGTGGTTTCTTCTTAACTTTCAAAGACAGTAGTTTCTTCTTAACCATCAAAGACGGTAAGACGGTAGTTTCTTCTTAACCATCAAAGACGGTGGTTTCTTTTTAACCATCAAAGACGGTAGTTTCTTCTTAACCCTCAAAGACGGTAGTTTCTTCTTAACTATCAAAGACAGTGGTTTCTTCTTAACCAACAAAGACAGTAGTTTCTTCTTAACCATCAAAGACGGTGGTTTCTTCTTAACCCTCAAAGACAGTAGTTTCTTCTTAACCAACAAAGACGGTAGTTTCTTCTTAACCAACAAAGAAGGTGGTTTCTTCTTAACCATCAAAGACGGTAGTTTCTTCTTAACCAACAAAGACGGTAGTTTCTTCTTAACCAACAAAGACGGTAGTTTCTTCTTAACCATCAAAGACGGTAGTTTCTTCTTAACCCTCAAAGACTGTAGTTTCTTCTTAACCATCAAAGACAGTAGTTTCTTCTTAACTATCAAAGACAGAAGTTTCTTCTTAACCATCAAAGACGGTAGTTTCTTCTTAACCATCAAAGACGGTGGTTTCTTCTTAACCATCAAAGACTGGGGTTTCTTCTTAACCATCAAAGACGGTGGTTTCTTCTTAACTATCAAAGACAGTAGTTTCTTCTTAACCATCAAAGACAGTGGTTTCTTCTTAACTATCAAAGACAGTAGTTTCTTCTTAACTATCAAAGACAGTAGTTTCTTCTTAACCATCAAAGACGGTGGTTTCTTCTTAACCATTAAAGACGGTGGTTTCTTCTTAATTATCAAAGACAGTAGTTTCTTCTTAACTATCAAAGACAGTAGTTTCTTCTTAACCATCAAAGACAGTAGTTTCTTCTTAACCATCAAAGACAGTGGTTTCTTCTTACCCATCAAAGACAGTAGTTTCTTCTTAACCATCAAAGACTGTAGTTTCTTCTTAACTACCAAAGAATACACAACGGTAGTGCTCGGTGAAGCTGTAATAAGTGGACCTATTATAATGTTTCACAAAGCTGAGCAGGATATCGGGAATATGTCCTTTTGACTAACATCCAAGATGCCACTCTTCAAGTATACTCCAGGAAGCAGCACAGACAGAAAACATCCATTCATCATTGTTTGTGATCATAAAAAATGTGCCACAGTTTATGAATTTTCCATGATTATAATAATCAAGATTTTTGTTCAAACTTGTCTATAATTAATCCAATTTGATTCCCCAGGGAGATGCCGGGCAATATGGGTCAGCTGGTCAGCCTGGACCCCCAGGACCTTCTGGTTCTGATGGACTCCCAGGTGCAACAGGTCCCGCCGGTCTTCCCGGAGAGAGAGGTCAGGATGGAAATCCTGGACCTAAAGGCAACCGGGTGAGTTTCTCATTCCTCTTCTTCTCCGTAGACTTCATCAGTTGTAAGTTCTGAAGGAAAGTTCTGGTTATTTGTATAATTCTGGACTTTTGTTCCAGAACTTGAGTTTTGTGTGCACACCTGTTTTAAGATCGGGCTTTTTTGGGGGGGGGGGGGGGGATGGGTGCCAATTGTGGTTCCTTTTTTTTGAGGCAGATGTACTTTGACTTTGGAGAAAACAAGAATTAATCGACATTTTAACGACATTTTGAGATATACATCCTGGTGAGGGGGAAAGGGGTAGTGGGTCTATTTTTTTCTCTCTCTCATCACATTAGGGTCCTGGAACCCACACGGTGAAGTTTCTAATTGAGTGTGTAACTGCACTGGAAACTGGAAACAAATTCTTACATGTTACACAGATCCAGTTTTGTCATGACTCTAAATCCTGGATAACTTACAAATAACATTTAAAAAATAATTTGAAGCCTGACTAATCTGGTTCTGCAGAAGCGGACTAAAAATTCTCCGAACAGACAAAATTAAAAGTCAAGATGTTTTAAGAGAGGTTAAGAAGAAAAGAATCATTACAAATATCCAGGAAAGGCAGACTTTATCTTTAAACGCATTATCAGACGAAAAAAAAAAAAAAAAAAAAAAAAAGAGAAAATATTGTGACACATAGAAATAGTTCTGGATATAAAGATATAAAGACAATGGAAGAAGAATCTTGATAGCCTTTCATCATGGCCTAGAACGGTGTCATCGCACGTATGCCTGCTTGCTAGGATTGATGCGATTGAGATGCCTGATCTTACAATCCAGTCAGCAAGGCACATGATGATGATTATATAACTACACTTAGTTGTCTATGAATTCATAAAATAGACTTGTGAATAATTGAATTTTATTTCTCCTTCATCCTCTTTCTATCTCCCACGCCCCACCCTCTCTCAGTCTATATTAAATTAACTTTTCTATTACGCACCCTCGGGGAGTCTCCGTGGTGTAGCGGCTAGACTCTGGCCTGCAGATCGGAAGGTCGTGGGTTCGGGTCCGGACAGAGGCGGGCTTCTTCAAAAATGACCTTGGCAAATCCAACCCCCTATCCCCCCTCCCCCACCCTTCAGCCCCATTTAGTTAAGAATCGTGCACATCGAAAACAACAAAGAAGAAGAAGAAGACATATCAGCATAAGCCATGTTAGAGCCTCATCATCATCATCATCCTCATCATCATTATAATCATCATCAGAGTGGCTCTCATCACAGTCTGCTGAAAGAGACTCGGTTTGTCCCCAGCTCTCCCGCCTCGTGCCCTTTCATTTCCAAGTTTGTCACCAGCTCTCCCGCCTCGTGCCCTTTCATACCCAAGTTTGTTACCAGCTCTCCCGCCTCGTGCCCTTTCATATCCAAGTTTGTCACCAGCTCTCTCGCCTCGTGCCCTTTCATATCCAAGTTTGTCACCAGCTCTCCCGCCTCGTGCCCTTTCATATCCAAGTTTGTCACCAGCTCTCCCGCCTCGTGCCCTTTCATATCCAAGTTTGTTACCAGCTCTCCCGCCTCGTACCCTTTCATATCCAAGTTTGTCACCAGCTCTCTCGCCTCGTGCTCTTTCATATCCATGTTTGTCACCAGCTCTCCCGCCTCGTGCCCTTTCATATCCAAGTTTGTCACCAGCTCTCCCGCCTCGTGCCCTTTCATATCCAAGTTTGTTACCAGCTCTCCCGCCTCGTGCCCTTTCATATCCAAGTTTGTCACCAGCTCTCCCGCCTCGTGCTCTCTCATATCCAAATTTGTTACCAGCTCTCCCGCCTCGTGCCCTTTCATATCCAAGGAGTCAGTTATATCCTGTGCCCATCTTAGCTTCCATGATTTGTTTCTTGGGATAATAATGTGGTAGTTTCTTTTTGCTCATGGTTTTAGACTACGTCTTCAGCCTTCAGGAACCTTTTAGATTGCCAGGGCCAGTGAGTGCCCTGCTCAGTGATCCTCTAACATCGTAAGACAGCTCAGGGTGGTCCACTTATTAGTGCAGATACTCGGTCCCCATAGCTGCATTGGTCGGAGCGCAGTGTTTTTACCATCCACAACCACATGGAAGTGCAGTAAGGGGTTTTCAATTCGCTGAGTCTTGAGACCAGAATGGCATTTCCAAAAACTCTCCAGTACTTTTGAAGGACATGTTAGATATTTATGCTATCTGCTGCTCTACAGGGCGCCCTAGGAGCTAACGGACAACCAGGATTCCCCGGACCTGCAGGTCCAGCAGGAAACCCAGGCGAGAGTGGAATTCCAGGCGGGAAAGGAGAAAATGTAAGTATGCCAGCCTTACACTATTCAGTGACATAAGTTGAAAGAAATCACATAGCAAAGGTCTCTATGGGGTTTCATGGGGGCATACTGCTTTTAGTTGATTCAAGTTTTCGCTTCTGACAGTAGTTAACTGTTGCATTTTCCTCTATATGTAGACAGGGGATATAGTTCTATTGCCCAGATACTGAGTTCAGTGCATGGCAAGACACTGTGAGTTGCAACTTTGATTTTGAATGCATTTTGACTATGCCCCTCCCCCCTCCCACAACCCTACGTAGTCTGTGTTGTGAATTAAAGATTCAGAAAACGGTGAGTGACCTGTTCTCAGAGAACTGGCTGTGCCTTATACAATTAATTGCGTACGCAACTACTGATCTGTTGTGACTGCCGCTTCCATAAATAGTGAGCTACAATTCTAGTGTGTTGGCACTTCTGACGGCTGCTTTATGCATTAAATGCGTGTGTATCGTGTTGGTTTTACGAGACTTCAGTCGGTATTGCTCTTTTCACAAGCGACTGTAATGAACATTCTGTCTGGTTTTCAGTGGCTCACGATCGGGGCTAACACCTGGTGACCCATTTGCTATGAGTTTGGCACTGGCATTACCCGATTACCTGAAATGTGTTTGAAAGTACTGAAAGATGTCTCTTTTTTTTTTCTACTTAATTTATTTTGACCAGCTGGGCGGCGTAGCGGCTAGTCGCTCGCCTGCGGATCGGAAGGTGGTGGGTTCGGTTCCTAATGAAACCGGGCTTTCTTCAAAAATGACCTGGCTCCCAGGTAAACCTAGATTAAACACATTACCCACCAAGTACCGATTGGTCTATACAATAAAGATCCAGCCCTATATGCCCAGTAGGACTGAATCTTTAGAAAATAGTCCCTTTTCTTTGCTTATTTACATTTTTGAATTGTGTTTACCGTGGGAGAGAATGTATAAATCTGCATTACAATGCAAATTAAACATGATTATGCCTCAGTCTGATGATACTCTATGTGAGTCTTGTTGTTAAAAACCCACAAATGCACACATATTCACACACACATGTAAATAAATTTTTAATTCATTATAAATTTACTCAACATGAGCGTTATTTTCATAATGCACACGCAAGCATACACATACAAACAATCGCAGATACGGGCATGCTCTCTCTCTCTCTCTCTCTCTCTCTCTCTCTCTCTTTCTCTCTCTCTCTCTCTCTCTCTCTCTCTCACACACACAGACATGCACACGCACAGATGCAATCTTCAAATTATTTATAATTATACATATAAACTGTGTATTAAACACAATTATGTGTAAGAACTTACAGGTTGAATTCATGACATTAATGTATGTAAACGCTCACTAAGGAAAGTCTGGAGGCAACTGAGATGTGCTTCTTGAGAAGAATGTTGCTAATATCTTGGACTGCTAGAATAACTAACAATGATTACCTGGAAATGGCTAATGTATGTAGAACATTACATACAACAGTGTGAAGGAGACACAGTTATTTGATCATGTGATGAGAAAAGGAGCACTGGAAAATATCGTGACGACTGGAAAGATCACTGGTAGAAGAGGCAGAGGCAGACCAAGAGAAACGATGGTAGTTAGATTAAGAAAGTTGCATAGAGGAATATCATTAGTGGAATTGATCCATAACACCAAAGACCGAGATCTGTGGAGATGAATCAATGCCTACGCCAGCTGACAAGGCACTTGATAATTGTTTATCATATAAACAATGTTGACATCGTGACTCCGAGGTGTCGGGTTTGGTCCCCCCATCGAGTGGTTGGCAGCAGACCGCCTTGCGCTAATGTCCACTGTGGTATCAAGAGCCCTACACTTCAGTAAGCAATGAAAAAATACTCTACTTAAACTGACTAGTGAAATCACAAAAGGCCAGAAGATGCTGGAGTTGGTACTGCGCTGTCCTGTAAAGGATACGCAACTAACTTTGTATGTAAACATTGCATCAACTTTCATGTTTAACCTTTCTACCACCACAGGGTCGCGATGGATCTCCTGGTTCTCCCGGTGAACCAGGCCCAGCTGGCAATCCCGGATCCCCAGGAGACAGAGGATCACCTGGCCTTCCCGGACAAGAGGGCAAACGGGCAAGTTAAAATAGTGGAAATATGAATAGTGCTAATTTAACTCCCTCATTGCAACGATACACACGGTGTAACGTTTGCCCTGCCCCTTGCATCTTAGTCATTGGGTAAAATGTTCTGTCTTCCTCTCTTTTTTTTTCTTGGCTTTCACCTACTGTAAACTCCAGAGGAAATTTCTGGCTGTTTATCCACTCCTGATCTTTGGTCTTAACTGCTCTGTAAAGTAAAAAATATTGTAGAAATGTGGCTAGCACATTTACTTGCCAAGAGATTGGTCTAAGTTCAATCACTAGCAGAGGGGGGAAAACATTTCCTCCATTTATAGCTCTGAGATGTCTAGATGAAAGCTGCTGAAAGAGGCCAAGGGTGCTGGACTGTATTCCATCCATAATATTGATAGGATTGTACAAGATATAATGGAATGGAGGAACAAGACTGCAAGGCTTATAAAGCAGTGTTGCCACTTTTCTTTGACAAAAAACATCCAAAAAATATCTAAAAACATCTAAATTTGCGTGAAAAACATCTAGAAAAAACATCCAAATGGAAAGAGTCACAAATTACAAAGCAATTGATATGACTTAAAAGAATCATGTCCTCATCTAAACTTAAGTCTGCCTTACAAGACCCACAGGATAAACTTAGCTTGGATGATGAATTTGAAGCTTCAGATCCAAAATGACTCTGATATGCTTTAGCTGTTCCAATTTCATTTAATACCTAATCAGGGAGCAGATAAGTGGAACTGCCTTTTTTAGTCTTATCAGGCCGAATTTTATTGTCAAGATAGCATTTAAGAGGTCAAATTTCATCCTGTTTCTTAGGTTAGATTTGATAAATTCACTCCAAATGAAAAACTTCTAACACAAACATCTACCATCTAAACGTCAAAACGCCATCTAAATGCAAGGATAAACATCTAAATCTGGATGTAAAACATCCAAAGTGGCAACACTGTAATAAAGTGCTGTTCAGAATAATGATGATGAAAGTGATGAAATGGTCATGACTCACTCACACTTCGTGAAGGTGAAACACTCCCTACTACCATACGACTATCTGTACGGTAAAGTACTATTTTTAACTTGTGCAGTCTCTGACAGTTTTGATTTTAACATTTGATGCGTTTATGTACTGTGGAGTAACAATCTTTGAGTCCTTATTAGTTAAATTAGTACTGTTATGACTGATTGACTGACTTTCTACTCCACTAGGACATCACACAAGCGATAAACACCCGATGACACAATGTGCCATCATGTGGATGAGGATCACCGTGGAGAGGTCACAGAAACCGCGTTCAGCCATCAGTCCACATTTATGACCGGGCTATATTGCGGCCCCTGGCATGAGCCAGAGTAGGACTTCAAATAACGAAAATTTGCGTCCTAAAAAGGACGGCAAGATTAAACAATAGTAATGTAATAAGGCAGGAGGAGTTAAAGTAGCACTTGGAGGAACACAAACACAAGGAACAGAACAAAAAAGGTTCAGAAATGTATATAACTTGCATAGAGCAATCAGTAAAATGTGGGGAATTGCCTGGTATTGAAAGCGTTAATGTTGCCTAAACTGGTGAACTAAACCACATTTGTTTCTGCAGGGCAGCCCAGGACTCCCTGGCAGTCCCGGACTAGCAGGACCCCCAGGTGAAGCGGTAAGTCTTTCTTCTTTTTTATTGTCAATTTTCTTGACAATTAGTTAGCGCCCTTTGGATATTTTCTCCAGGTTATACTGGTGTGGTGGGAAACGAGCAGGCAGCTAGACTGGTCGGTCTCCACCACTTGGTGGTGAACTGATGTTTGACAAGCTAGATGCTGTGAGGGCCTCTTTGGGAACGAGTGAATAGTGCAGAGGCACAAATAGATCTCACGGTCTGACGAGCATGGCGCTGCAGGGAGTTACCAGGGAATGTGGCCAACGCTCAACACTCACAAGTTTGCAAATGAGTATCTTAAGAAAAGGCGAGACGGATTTACAATCTGACAGTTACCTTACTATCTGAAATGAAACTTTGTGCTTGCTGCTGAAGATGGGAACGGGGTGTTTATGGGAGTATCCCGAGTGCTACGATGTCGATTTTTAATTCAACATTCAGTTTTCTTGGAGACAAATAGTGTTGACTTTGAAATCTGGTTCTGAGTGTAGTCATCAAACAACCCTGACACAACCTACTGGTCGGAGGTCCCCCACCTCCAGTTTAAAAGTAAATGACAGCCAATATGCTGGCCAACTAGTTAGAAACACGGGGATCTCATGTGGGAAACACAGGTTAGAATCCCTGGTAAGGTCACGAACGCTTTTTTTTTCTGTCAGGGGCAGAAATAATATTGTTTCCAGCACTAGTCTGCCGTGTGCTGGTGATGTTTCAAAAATCCGTATATTTCGCTGCACAGATAAACTGATTTCCAAACAATCACGTGTGTGTCAGTTAATATATGTTTATTTGTTAGGGGTACACACATTATTAGTCAAACAAAGATCGGAAAAATTCGCGGCTGTAAGAAAAAAAAAGCAGCACCTGTGCAATTGTAAATTTTAAAATCATAAGAACATGGGAATTTTAAGGTCACATGCAAAAATGTGTCTTCATCCGTACAAGAGTTTCTGAGATATTTGCTTAAGTGAGGAGACGAGAACGGGAATTCTTACAAGCTATATAAATCCTGTCACGATATAAGGAGGTCAATCATGGACAGTTAGTCAATTAGGGAAACATTATTTGGAAGCTGCAGAATTTTATAAACGAATGTGAGGATATCATAGAGGGATATTTAAAAAAAAAAAAAGTAATAAAGATGTCTTGAAAGAAACGAGCGAAGTGAACCGATTGCCCACATCAGGAGAGACAGTATACATTCTTTGGTCATGTCATGAGATGGAGAAAACTGGAGTACATTTCGACAGTGGAAATGTTGGAGGGGAAGAGAAACAGACGGAGACACACGTACACTCACACACACACACACAAGTGCACACAGAGAGAGATAGAGAGATAGAGAGAGAGAGCGAGAGAGAGAGAGAGAGAGAGAGAGAGAGAGAGAGAGAGAGAGAAGATACTGGATGGTTTGACATTATGGCACGAGACAGAAGGTTGTGGATGGACACGACTACCATTGAAACACGGCATGGACTATAGGACAAAATGAGGGCATGCATTTTGAAACGCACTATATAAGAAAGTTTCTTTTTGCCTAAATAAGCAACTGACAGAATTGTTGATGTTCTAGACTGATTTAATTTGTTTGTCTACATTTGTAGGGTATCCCGGGTGGCCCTGGACAACCAGGCACTGTTGGATTCCCAGGAGCAGCCGGCAAAGATGGAGAGCGTGGGTTAGCAGGAGAGAGAGGCCCTCCGGGACTTAACGTAATACTCTTGAAGTTTTTACTTTTGTGTTCTTAGGATGTGTGTGCTTGTTTTTTATTGTTAATTCTTTGATTTGATTATGTACTTTTCTTTGTGTGTTGTTTTTCACCTGTGTGTTATTTGTATGTGTCTGTGTGTTGGGCGTGTTGTGTGTGTGTTGTATATATATATATATATATATATATATATATATATATATATATATATATATATATATATATATATAGTCTTTTTTGTTGAAGACCTCTTACTCCGCACCGAAGCTATCTGGACAACTTATAACTAGGTTGAACAGGCTATCTGTTAGTTGTCTTGTTAGCTTTACGTCCAGTACGCAGCTCTTGAAGTGGAAGAGGAGTGTTGAAATCAGCACATAGCAGTTCAGTGAGGGGTGGGGGACAGACATATTATTATCAGTATTATTTTTGTCTCGAATGTTTTCCTTTCATAGCAGTATTTTTCCATATTTTATACAATTGTCATAAGTATCAGAAAATATCAGAGTAAATTATTAGTTCCTTTCTATTATTAATTCTAGTTTTAAACTTACTCAAAACATTTGGTTTTGATTAAGTAAGAATCAAACATCACCAATTTAAAATTGTTTAAAATGTAAACATAATGATAAAGGAAAGTTCTGGTATGTCAGACAGGATACTCGTTATGTTGTCCTTTACTCTCACTACATGTTTTCCCAAAGGGCCGCGTTAGCGTAGTCGATAGGAAACTCGCTTTGAAAATTAGCTTCGACTCGCTGTAGCCCAGGGCAGGTGTTCGAAACCGGGCGGTTTCCGTGGTTCCCCAACCTCTAGAAAATGGGTACCAGAGTTCACTCTGGGCTAGCCAGCCGGACTAGAGCAGGGACAACATGGCCGAGGTATCGGGCAGGTGCGGCCGCAGGAAACAAAACAACCCCAAACGAAATAACGTTTGAACCTGGTCTGCTCGTCTTATCTTGACGATTGCTGTAGTTTGGGGGGCTGCCGACGATGTTCAAATGCATAACCAGACGTTCATCTGCAATGAACATCAATTGAACCTGAAATAATGCACAACAAAAGCAACAACAGGAAATTGTATAACAATCGAACGTAAAAATTGTACCAGACAAACATACAAACCGAACTTAATAAACACGATTTTAAAAATGAAAAAAAAAAAAAAAAAAAAGAGTTAACACTCTGGGGTAAATGGAGGAACGTCGCTGTAGCTATGGAGTTGCGTGCCCACGGCGACACAGGCGGACAGTTTCTTATCAGCTGTCCGTACTGGTGGCAGAGCACTTATGGTTTATAACAGTGTGCAATGACGCTGGTTCACATCTCCTGACTTTGATCATTTTCTGTTTGTTATTGCTCCACGTTGTTTTCTTTATGTTATTGTCCATGCTTGACCAAATGACCTTTAAAAAGAAGGTAAAAGACTGACAACACTTCTGTATACCAAGCTAAACCTTATTTCATGTCGACATGAAGCATTCTTGGAAGGACGGCAAAGATATGATGATCATAATCTTAGCAGAGGTGAAGCGTGACCATGACTCAAACTTGATAAGCTGCACTGGTTTTCATGAACGCGCATTTGCAAATGCCCCTTTGCCCCACACATATAAAAATTACAGACAAAGTTATGAATATCAGAGCAAGATATGTCAGAGAATTTAAGAGATGGACAATGAAGACAGTGAAAATAAATAACAGTATTCTCAGTAATACACACACACGCACACACACAAACACACACACACACGCACAGACAGATTTTCACGAGAAACAGAAAGATGAAACAATAAATATATGCTGGCAATGTTCACACAAACAATCTTTGTAGATGGAAGATAAAAGAATCGTGGTATGTAGAAAGATTAAGGTAAAACAAATTGTGTAAAAAAGTTGTTATAAGATTTCGACTATCCTTAAAAAAATATAGCGAAACAGAAACTTATTCAAAAGTTTAAAGTTGCTAAAAATAAGTAAACAGTAAACCCACCAGACATAATTGCAATGATTAATAAAAATAAACTGCAAACTGAAATTAGAAAAACAAAGCAAAGATCTTATGTAAAAAAATGCTTTGTTAGTTAGTTGACAGATTTACCTCATTACGCATCGAACTATTCAGCCCATAAGTGCTCGGATCCCCTCCTTAGTAAATCCTCCCAAAATCTCTCAAACGTCTAGCTTCTCGCACAGCATTCGGAATATCTGCCTGGTCTATGGCTCGTCCGTCCTCCACAGTAGCTTTACCAGCAAGTCTATCAGCTTGTTCATTTCCTGGCACACCTGCGTTGCCTGGCACAAATACGAAGCTGATATGTGTCAGCGCCCACCGCTTTAGAGACTCCCAACAACTGTTTTCGGACCCAGCCCATCTCTATCTTGCTAAGTATACTCATTGAGTTACCGAGTAAGCACGCCCGGGAGAAGGTCTGTGTCTCCAGCCATGTTTTTGTTTTGATCATTACCATGACCTCCATAGCCAGACTGCTTAAAAAAAAAAAAAAATTAAAATATATAGATTACATAAATTATATTCAAATGTAACTCGTGCGTGTGTTTATAAGGTGGACGTGGGAGCACATAATTATAGTTTCTGAATGGCCAGATTTCATATGCCTGTGAATTTATTGTCTATTTAGTTTATTCTCAATAATGTAATTCTTAAATCATTTACTTGCAGGGACAACCTGGCCCAGCAGGCCCACCAGGAAACAATGGTCCACGCGTAAGTTTATGCATTTGTGTGTTTGTCTGTTAGTGTCTGTTTTTTCGTCCTTATATGATCTCTTCTCATTTAATTTTTAGGATCTTTGCATCCGTTCATCAATAATTTGTCCATTTCATTATCTGTGTATCTGTTCATCCTTTTCTCTGTTTGTCTGTTAGTCTCAACATCATCACGGAATGGTCCTTTACAGAACGTCGCTCATATCACGGTTTGCATAAAAGAACTCACTCGGTCTCTCGCCAGCTCTCCCGCCTCGTGTAATTCATACCCAAGGTGTCACTTATATCTTATGCCCATCATCGTGTTGGTGTGTCCCATCCTCTGTCCTTGTACTATACTTTCAGCTATAATCTATTCTTTCCAATCCGCACTTGATATCGCCAAAATATTTCAGTTTTAGTGACTAGATGCTGTTTACCAGTCAATCTTCCTCATTGTTCAAATGTTTTAAGTGTCAGTATTTATTTTCTTTTTAGTTCATAGAGTTCTGAGAAGTTTTCGGTAGCATTTCAGCTCAAAGTCCCTATTGTCTTCCTTAATGACTCTAAGATGGTCCACGACTCACACCTACCCGTATGTTGTTACAGGGAAGACACAAACTTTCACAAGTTTCTATTAGTTTTGCAAGGGATCATTGGTTTATAATTCGGCACTTTTTTTCGGGAGGGGGGGGGGGGGGGGGAAGTATGATTTCCAAGAGATAGTCAATCCATTACATTATGCAAATAATTTCGTTTATTATGATGTCCTTCAAAATCAGATCACGAAATACTCTTTATCATTACATTAAGTTGATCATAGGACCTTCTCATTAATGTTAAATGTTACATTCATGTTAATTATTACATTAATGTTAATTGTTACATTAATGTAAGCTGGACTTCTTGTTTGACAGGGACCTGCAGGAAATCCTGGAAAAGATGGTCCTCCAGGAGAGAGAGGTTCGCCGGTAAGCAGTTAACAGATCGTGTCTAAATGTCTAATTAAGGTCAGTGAGATTTATTTGGAGTCTCCCCGTGTGGGTTATGGACCCCTATTCTAGGTACGAGGGAGAGGGCAGAAAGAGAGAGTAGATCGACTGCCTCACTAACTAGCATTGGGGATGTTTTCTTTAAAGTCGGAGTGCATCTGCCTGAGAGGCTAGGAAACAACAGTCTGCATAAAAATAAATCGGATCTGTAAACGGATGTACACTCAAAAATACAAGTTCTGGAACAAGACCAAAGACTAGAAATGGACGAACCGTGGGACCTTTCCG